CCCCTAGAGGACACCCCCATTAACTGGAGGAGAAAATGCCAGTGCAGGAAATACTGTGCTGGACCTATTTACAAACGAAGAGACACAAATCGGGTGAAGTATAGAACCAGCCTGTGTTCAGTGCAGACTGAGAGTTGGACCGGTGATGACATGTAAATACAGTCCCACCCTTTCGTGGTATTCGGAGGCGCAAACCATACTGCAGTCAGTTCCAGTATAAACAACGTCTGATTGACTATTTACCTTTCATCACAAGCCTATTCATAATATGAAACAATACTTCAATGGAATGTAGCAACAAATTGTCCGTGACTCATCCACAAGGTGGGGAAATCCATCATGAAGCGACGTCAGGCGGGTCTCTCTGAACGCTCCTGGGTCGGTTGCCCGTGAAACGTTTTTGTGCGCCGGAGTTGGCCACAGCAGAGGGCCAGCTCCCCCCCCCCGCGGTCTGCGGCGCTGTCCCGCGCGGGCCGGGAATGCTTTAGCTGTCACGCAACCTGTCACCCCACGCTCGGGGCTCCTCATGTCTCATGGGGCAAGTTCGTAAAAACTAAAAATGATATCATAAATATATATGACCTACAGTTAGAGAGGATGCAGGTCTTCCATGTAGTTCATTTGGTCTTTAGAAATTTAAAACCATTGTAGTCAATGGTTGGGCATGATTTTCTGCCAAAACAATAAAATAATTCTATAAAAATATTCACGGCTTTATTGGGTCACATTACTTAGTTATTTAATACATGGTGGTGTGTTTAGGTCGTTCGATGACTCTCAGCGTAAAGTTCACAGCATTTGAAGCAGGTTCAATAGTGCCACCCAGTGGGCAATGTTATAATTGCCGAAGATGCTAGTAATTAAAGGATAAATCTCTTGATCCCGATCTAAATATTATGGAAGGCGAGGCAGCTTCCTGACATTTTTTCTCCCAGGGTAAGTTTGCTCAGCAGCATTTACCTATGTTGGCATTTCTGTAGTTAGTCAATTTACTTTATGAGCCTGGGGTGTTTTTCAATATAACACAAACAATGAAAACAGTCCCCGCAAGATAGATTTTTCTACATATTTGATTTAAGTGGGAAAAAGTTAACGGTGAATCTTTTTTTTTTTTCTTTTTTTTTACTGGGAAAATGAAATCATTCATGATTCAATTTAATATTTTCTCACACCACCTAACCCAATTAAATATTTGCTCACTGCACACAAATGCTGTATATATGTTATAAAAAATCAAAAGTGCAGTGGAGCAGAGGGAAAGCCTTTTAAAAAGGAAAATGTAAGAAAGGCATTAAGTACAACAACTGTGGCTTCACCCTAAATGATTCTAAGGGTATCTGTTAGAAGATGAGGGGCTTTAAAGACCCCCCACATGCATACACACCTTGCAGTGTGACACCATCAGAGGCTGAGAGGTCTTTCAAGGATCTTGGTGTGGCTGTCATCTCTAATGGATAGGAGTAAGACCCAAGTTGGCGTCTGTCCCCAGGCAAACCTCAGGCCTTTTGGCTCTTTCTGCCACTTACAGATGTGCATGCCAAGTCACACAAACACCTGTCACGGCATGTCTCTTCTCTTTAAAGTCTCGTTAAATCCAACCCCCCCCCCCCACACACACACACACACTCTCTTTCTTCACAATTCTTTCTCTCTCAATCTCCCTTCCCATTTCCTATCTCTCCTTCCTTTACGGGAGAAATAGAGACTTCAGAAAATCCCTGATTGATGACCCGGCGAGGGAGAGACGCGTAGAGTTAGCAAAGGGAGGCGATGGTTCATTTTCCATTTTAGAATAAAGACGGAAAAGCGAGCAAACTGCCAAGGCCCTTCATTTGATCTGAATGGAACTTCAATAAAGCAAATTCCTAGACAGCTATTTCAGTTCATCACCAGGAAACATTCCCAAACCAACCTTTTGTCTTATGGCCCTGACAGCTTGTGACTGTTATTTTAGCCCTCTGGAGCGCTCTATATTAAATCAATATATAATATTACCAAGGTCAAAACTGACCCCACTGCATGCACCATATATTTTCCCAGCCGTTTGACAGCCATTTGTCTCACGGTGACAAAACACCAACTCTTTACTTTCCTACGTTACTATTGCAGGCCTGTTATCTTCTATAACACAACTTTATACTCTGCCATTCAGGTACCATGGCAACCATAGAGGTCTATACAAATGAGCTCGGGGAACAATTAAGCCACTGTTAAGCTGCGATATTTCTGTAATACTGCTAGTGATGATAAGGTGCGTAGGATAGTGTGTGCAGTTTCCATCCCTGAAGATCTTCATTCTCATGCTTTAATGTATGACCTGATACGCTACGAAAATTGATTCATGAAGGAGGCCTTGCTCACAGTCAACGGGATTTTTATTACTTGGACAGATTACAATGTATATTTGCCTGCCTTTTGCCCGATTCAGTCCCAGGTGCTTGCGGAAATCCATGCTGCACGGATAAATTGAAAATGAAGGGAAAAAAAGATTCATCAAAGAAAGGGACACATTCATTGTCAGGGTTTTGTCACAGTGAAGGCATAGGATAAATTCTCCAAACGCAGCACACCAATATGGCCCAAAAGGTGCTTGTGAAAGTTTTAGGTGACATTTGGTAGTACAAGCCTGCCACCTACTGGTGTGAAAGGGAATACTCATTGGCACGATCCATCAAATGACTTTGCCCCGCAGTTCAACTGAACCTCCTCTTTTTCTCATTTACTTCTCCTAAACTAATTTATCGATAGAACAAATAATAATATCCTAATCAATTTAAATGGGATCCGAAGGGTTCAGAAGGAAACTGAAAGCAGCTATGAAAACACAAAGGAATTCAACAGCTCGGGTAATTATTATATTTGGTTGGCTGTGAGTTCAGCCAAAGGTTCATTCAAAATATCAGATCATAAATGGATTAAAAAAACGATTCTGGCAAAGAAGGCAAAGAAGTTTGCTGATTGCATGAAATGTATCGCAACAAAGATGAGGTCAAAGTGAGAGATGAAATTGAGGCATGAAGTGCAACTCGTATCGATTCGACGAATGTCTGACAACTCCCTTCTCTTTGTTTAAACGTATCTCCCAGTAAGATCACGAAGAGTCTAGTATTCCAAAGACATCAGCCTACCAAACACTTACATACTGTGCGCTCAGTGTTGTCTTTGGTACCTGGACCCTGTAACCACTAAGGAAATCCCACAGATAACCCATATGTAAGCTCTCTCTCTCTCTCTCTACACACACACACAAGGAGAAATGGAGTTTTTGGGGCTATTAAAGTACATTTTCTGTGTTATGATTTGCCTATTTAATTACACATACGTCATGCTATAATAATGTCACGTAACTGCATTTTTTAAACTATTCATTATTCCGACAAATATGAACAATGAGCTTGCTGCATTCAACACGCCTGGCATTTCCCATTACCATAACAAATGACAAAAGTCAAACAGGCAAACATGCGGTGAGTGTGATGTGAGTATCGGTTAAGTGTGTACTCAACTAACCAGTCAAACCCGAGAGTCATTTGTTACTAGTTTCACAGGCTCTCATTCATTTTTCAAAGTTGCCGCAGGTTCAACATAAAATCGATTACTGGGCTTTTCATTTTGTACATTTGGTAGAAACTTCATATTTTTTCTACTTTCCAATCAATGCACATAAGTTTATAACAACTAAGAGCTACTATCTGAATGCCTTTATATGAGTGTCTATATTACCATAATTAAAGCAATATTCATTTTTTATATTAAATAATAAATGCACTAAAATTTCCTTCACACATGGCAGAATAGCTAATGGCTTGTGGAATTAAATGCATTAACGCATGGACTGAAAGCATGAAGTACGTTAACTTATAAGGAATCTGCAGCACAGATTGTTCTCATATCTGAATGGCCGCTCTTGAAAACATAATACAGAAAAAAAAGACATTTGTTTGATAAATATCCCATTTCCCAGCTCTAGCGTGACCTCGCCCGGCCAGGCTGCACAGCTGTTGCTCTCGTAATGTCAAGCGCTGCTTGCCGCATCAGACATAGCGAGTATCTCAGAGATATATTACAGCCCGGCAGAGACCCGAGCATGACTGTTTGAAACGTGAGACGTAGCGCTGACATCGGAATGGAGTGAATATAGTTTCCCTTTGTGATTTTTTTGAGCAACAAACCATAACGCCAAGCACTATTTCAGGGGCAGCTAATATCCTCTAGGGTCAGCAAGCACTTTTGATGGTGGACGTTTTTGTTTTTCAAAGTCATTTTTTAAACTATTTTTAAGTCACTCTTCCTACTATCTAACTCTTGTATTCTGTTTTCAATTTGACTACTGGTAGCTTTCTGTTGGTGAAAAAATATCACACAGAACTATTTAAGAGTTCTATTTTCTGAGGTCAAACGCATTTTATTGGGTTAGGTACACCTGCCGACTTCAATCCTCCAGTTTGCTTGATTTACTTTTTTAAATGATCGTTTTAATGATTTCAGAGGTAAATACCAGTTGCGGTAAATTGGATTTTAATGCGCGCTCTATCTTTTCTGGGGTACTTTAAGATGCACTTTAGAGGATTTTGCTCTTAAATGGATTTTTAAAAGACGGTAGTAATTTTGAGCAGCAAGACACCACTTTCTTCCGCCTAATATTATATTATTGTGTTTCCTATATTTTTTTATGTCGCAGAGTAAAACTCAAAAGAATTACGCATTTTAGAACTTTTTAAACGAAATTATTGGGAACCTCTCCCGATTCCCCGAAGAAGAACCAGTTTATCGCCAGTTCGTTCGTCACTTCCGTGCCGTAAAGCAGGATACTGCTACGGAGAGTCAACTGTCGTTAAACAGGAGAAATGAACAGAGAAGAAAAAATGACAGCTGATTTCCACTGCGGGAAAATCGAACTGCATTTAATGTAAGTTCAGAAAGATAACAGAAAATCCGTTCAGAAGACCGATTCTGCGCCCGTCACGCTAAAAACACTTTCCTCGGTGTCCCCGCTTGCCGCGACACTTCTTTACGTCAGTTGGGCACACTTTCCGCCCGCAGGTTGCTGCACCAAAATACCTCCCCACTGTACACAACCCAATAAAGGCGTTTTACAATAAGGATTTATGACATGCGGTGCTGTTGACGAGGGGAGGGCGCTGGTCTCCGTTAGAGGTACTGATTTCTGCTGGATTTATGTTTTATATAATGCGAGTTAAAGTTGCCGTGTATCTGCCGAATAAGTACTCGCTCTCAGCCAGATGGGAATCTCACGGTTAGCTCAGTAGCTAGTCATGGCTAATATTCACAATCAACACCATTAATTAACAAGTGACCATTTGGTGAACTCCGACGGTGAACCTTTCGAAAATAAAAGTACATTTTATGTTTGTTTGGTAATAAAACCAAACAATAACTCGCTTGTAAATAAAATTTGTATGACGCCGCATTCCTGTGTGTATGTTCATACTTAGGGGAAGAATGCCAGAGTGGCAGATATTGCATTATAACCAAATGGAGTGACATTTTATTAAGTATTTGCTTTTATTCCTTAGGTTTTTCGATTGGTAGCCCCATGTAGCTGCTGGCCTGTTCTCGACTGTTTGGCACGTCTTTAACAATCAATATGGCTGATGTGAGTGTGCATATATATATATATTTTACCAACCCAGAGATCAAGGCCAATACCGTGTTAAATGCGGATGCTTATGTTTTTTTTTTCGTTTCAGGAGCTGAAGCGATATCTCTATAAACAGCTGCCAAGGTTGGTTTCACTTGATAGTGAAGTGAGACAGTAAAGTATAAGATTTTTTGAGTTAAAATTTAGATTAATGTAGTATTGTATGCAATATTTGTCGTGAATTATTAGTTGGTGCAGGTGTGATAGTACATTTCTGTGTTATGGCAGACATAAATCCTCATGACACAAAGTCCTCATTTTTCAAATGATCTGTCAGCCCTGACCCACTTGCAGTTTTCCACAATGTATTTTTTTTTAGTGTTGAAGGCCTTCATGCAGTTGTTGTCACAGACAGGGATGGGGTTCCAGTTATCAAAGGTACAGTGCATGCATGCGTGCATCTATGCAACGTGTGAGTGGCACCAGTTCAGGATGACGTCTGAAGCGTTTGCCACTGTTTCCCCCTCTCAGTGGCCAATGACAATGCCCCAGAATATGCCCTCAGACCTGCCTTCCTGTCTACCTTCGCCCTGGCAACAGACCAGGGCAGCAAGCTGGGACTCTCCAAGAACAAGAGCATCATCTGTTACTACAACACATACCAGGTGCGTGCCGGAGCCTCGGTGCCAGTGGCCCTACATATGAGCCATCCAAAGGCTGGCAAGGTTGTGTGAAAGCTTTTGAAAAGATGCTTTTCGGATGAGGCTGCTGACTGAATGCTCATTTACTTCCTTCAAACGGCAATTTTCCACACTGTGTCTACAATTCATCAATGGATAGTTAAAGGTAGCATGAGCAATTTTAATCCGATACACTTTTTGTCAGATTCGGCAAATTTCTCCTCACAGTCTACAAGGTGTCCATTCTGTGTTTTTCTGTGCAGCCCTGGGTCTGTAAATGGGGGGAAAAAAACGAAAAAAAAAATCAAGTGATTTGGACTGAGCTACACTGGACAATCCCACACCCCCGCTTCAGGCATCCCTTGGAAGCCATGCCACCTTCTCCCCATCCTGTGCACAAGCATGAACACCCCTGTTGCTGATTGGCTGGAACGGTGTCATGTAGTCTGGGCAGAGCCATTCCCCCCCCCCCCCCCATTTACAGAGCAGGGGTGCATAAGAACAACAGGTTTTATTTCAGCGCACACACAAAATTGACAGTTAGCAGACTAAGGAGAAATTTGCTGAACTTGACAAAAAGTGGATCAGATTAAAGTCGCATACTCTACCTTTAGTACTTTTTCCCTCCATCCTCAGTAGCAGATGATGCCATTCTGACAGGTTCCTAGGTAACCCCTTGTGACGTGTTGTTGTTTTCAGGTTGTGCAGTTTAACCGGCTACCCCTGGTAATCAGCTTCATTGCCAGTAGTAATGCCAACACAGGTAAGGACTGCAAAGAAAAACTGTCTTCTGAATGGTTATGCTGGAGAAGCTCTGCAAAAACCCTGTTGTCATGAAGTCAGTCTATTCACCTTAAAGATGACACTGCTCCTCTGACTTTCTCCATAATATATGCAGGTCTTATCATCAGCCTGGAAAAGGAGCTTGCGCCGATGATTGAGGAGCTGCGCCAAGTCGTGGAAGTAGCTTAGGAAAAACTGTCTATCACTTTATGGAATCCTGGACTTTGGGAGTCATGGGGATGACTTGGGATTTCATCCTTAGTGCCTGAGTTTGCAATCAGCTGTATTCCTTGAGTAATATGCTTGGTTGAAGTGGGCTGGGACAGCACAGGGGTTATGGAAACGAGATGGAGATGTCGTAGATGTTTTTCAGGAATCTTGCACACTTTTTCTCTTATGGTGTTCCTTCCAAAAACTTTAAATCCAAATAATACATATTTATTACATGTACAGTGTATGTCTTGTCTTCAGTTGAAATAAATGACAGCACACCATTGGTCTTTTGCATCAAACGTTTTGTTAAATGGTTGCATGAGTTCCCACACTCTCCATTATTTATTGTTATGAATTATTTGCAATAATTAGTATTAATAATTAAGGGTTCTTGGGTTACACAGAGGGTTGCCCCTCCCCCTATGACTCCATGATTCAGCATTTGGAAGACAGATTGGCATTGGTTTTAGCAGTGCATAGAATAGTACTAAAATATTCTCCAAATACTGGTTTTAGTGGACAAGTGCTGGAGCACTAAGCACTCATAGGGTGTGCGTTTGAATGTGCTTAGTGACGTACTGTCATTCCAATCAGGCTGGGCCCTGCCTTGTGTCCTATCTAATTCCGTCAGACTGTAAATCTGTACACCTTTACAGAAAAAAAACTCAAGAAACAGCTTTGAATTTACATTTTTTACATGAAAACTTCGAGGCACTGTTTCAGAGCTCTCAAAGTGTTGCTAGGCGATAATAATCCTGGAGACTGCGGTCCCGGCCTTTTGACGAAGCGCGACACTCACTCCCCGGCTCGGACAGCGTGTAGGACCTGTCATCCTCAGCGTCTCTCGTTCTCGGCCTAAATTCAGCCACTGCTCCCTGACCCGACTTCTCCTTTCCTCATGGGCTTTTTTGGATGTGCGACTGGAAAACAAGAGCAAGCTGTATCTGTTCCAAGTTCATGACCGACTTCAAGTTTTGGCACCACTGACAGTGATCTACCAGCTGATATTAAGCTAAAATAAGTACAGTGCATAGAACAGGTGTACTGATGCGAGTTAACGAAGGTGTTTCTGCACAACTCCCAATGATAAAAAAAATAAGACCAGATCTGTTTCAGGAGTTATATTCATTTAAAAAGGAACTTGCACAAACAGAGGTTAATGAAAACATGTGCTTAATATAACCTTCAATTCAGTGGCTCAGTAAAATAAGATCATTCTCTGGAAATAAAGTGGATATCTCAGATCTTTCGGTCTGGAATCTTTCAGCCTTCGAAGTTCTCACGTTATTTTTAACATTTTACACAATGGCTTTATGAGTGACTGGTTTTAAATCTGTGATTTGTCACTTACTAGTTTCCAGCTTAGTATGGTGATCCATTCCTCTGCCTCCATGCCAGTGAAAGCACACATGTAAAAGGTCCTTTCAGGAAACACCATGCTGTAGGACAAGCAGGGAGATGTTGCTGACCGTAACAGGGTGTGAACAAAGAGCCTATCTTGGTCAAAACATACCGTAAAGGTCAGAACTGTTTGTTGTCAAGTTTGTCAAAAGAATCAGTTGAGATTTTTTTAGCTTTATGTCAGCGTGTTACCTGTACAATAATAAAGGTAATGACAGGCTTGTGTTTTAAAGTGGACAGCTGAACATACAGTGAGATAACTTCCCGCACTGACAGTGATTTGGTAGGAGCTTTCCCATGTTCAGATTTCTTCTTGACCGGTAATGGTACCATTCTTGTGATTTTACTAAGAGTGAAACAAGGTAACAGGAAGGTTTGTTACCTTACAGCCGGTCAGTCCTACCCTAACTTCCCAGTTTCCAGCAGTACTCTTTGGTAACATGTTTCAGAACAAAAAAAACTCCATTTGCAGGAAGCGAAACACTTTTGGTATGTGTCGTACATTATTGGTAACATTGTTATTGTGTCAGTACGATCAAACCCAAAAGCAAAATGTCCTATCAGAGGATTAGATGTAAAGATATTTCTTACATTTTCAGTCCCATCATAGCAAGGAGAAATAACATAATTGGCGCTGGGAGTTCAGGGTATTTCAGTGGGTAACACTTTTGCCCCCCCCCCCATTCTCGAGGTTTGGGGTTCAATTCCTGCCCATATGTGTGGAGTTTGTGTGTTCTCCAAAACCGTATGTTTTAGGTGGATTAGTGACTCTTAATTCTGTGTACACATATTATGGACTGGCATCCTGTCAGGGTGTCATCTGCCCTGTGCATCCTGGGAAAAGCTCCAGGTTCACCGTGACCTTGTATTGGATGAGCAGGTACAGAAGATGGATGAATTGGGAGTGCGGTTTTATGGTGATGTAATCAGAGGAGACACTCACCAGAAGCAGTTTATTCTCTTTCTGGAGAAATCAGCCTGGACTGCAGAACACGCTCTCAAATCGAGGGTTCGAATTGGCTCGACAGACTGTGGTGGGACAACATCAGACATGAAGCTGTGGTTCGCTCTTATCGCGCAGCCGCCTTATGACTTTGCGTTATCACCCTCTCGGATCGAATTCTGCTTCATAGCGAGCGGTAAATTACCGAGGAGGCTTTTACAGATGGTGCGATAAGAAGCCTATTCTCATTCCAACTAGGCCAGATAACACGGTCGATTACATCAAACCCACCCTAAAATATTTCATTCTAATAAGCTGAGCCGCACAGTATAAAAGCTGACTCACCAATTTGTTTTTAAAATACTTCAGTTCGTTCCTATTTAAAGTGAACCACCTTGTTTTCCAGCTCTGAAAATTGAAACACAATGAGAAGATTGTGTCACGACCCTATGCTCATCAAATCCGCAATTAGCTTTTCTGTTGCGTCGTTAAATGTTTCTCACCTTAAATATTGCACCTTGTTTGACTAGAAAACCTTCCTTTGTTCCCAGCTGTAGGGTGGATAAGTACATCAGGATTATCTGCATTGGCTATTCATCCTGTGTCCATTTTTTTGCTACCTTTGACTCACCGAAGGTGCACTGGCCACCAGGTCCTTCGCCGTCATTCCAGTGTGCATGGCCGTGTGCACCAGCACGGGCTCGTAAACGCAGGGCTCCTCCACCTCCCGTGGGTACGGAAACTCCATGATGATGAGGCACCCTGCGTCCAAGGGGGAGGGGTGAGGGGAGGCAAGCATCCTGTAACTGGTGTGCGGGATGTAGCATAGTGCAGACTTCACGAGTGTGATACATGAGGAAAGATAATAATACGCTGTAATTAACTGTTTATCATTTTCACAAGACTGATATAACGTGAGTCTGTCGCTAGGCAACAAGGCCTATGTGTGTGTGTATATATATATATATATACAGCTGTGGAAAACAGTAAGAAACCAGTCTTTATTTTTTAAAAATCTGCATTTTTAAATTCTGGTTTAATCATGGCCCTGCTGGCAGACGGCTGTGCTGACCAGCATGTTGCTTATAACCTCAAAATTTCTATGACAACAGTACAGAAGAGTAAGGATTACAGAAGAATCAGGAGACATTGGGGACGACCAGAAACCAGGCAGGTAAATCGCAGAAGTTACTTTTTAATGCCAGAGATGTAGGTTTTGAAGTGACCTTCAAAAGGAATGGGAAGCATTAAGTGCAGGTGTGACGTGCACTGCTAGGACAGTTTCTATCAGGCTCCTAGAAGCAGGACTGAAGTCCCATAAAGCAAGGAAGAAGCCCTTCATTAATGAGAAACAGTGGAGAACCAGGCTGCAGTTTGCAAAAGCACATTATTCACAGACACAATAGACTGAGAAATGACTAAACCCAAAAAATTCTGCTGTAGTCTCTTAGCTTTTGCTGTGGCTGTATCTGCTGCTGTATTTATTTATTTTTGAGAAGTAAGACATTTATAAAAATCTAACCTGTTTCACTTCCTACAAGGGGCTGGTTGGCAAAATGATGGATGAATTCCCGGAGCGATGAGAACTCCTGAAATCCAAATGTGTAGCACTTGTCCTTCCGGGTCACTTGAAAGTGTTTGACCGAGTCGTCGGCCCTTAGCACCGAATAATGGAAAACGTGAATGTTAAACATTCTCAGCTTTCGCTCATTTTCCCTGTGCGCGTCACTAATTGTGCAGAGACAAGAAGTGAAGGAGGTAGAGATGCACCTTACTGATAGGGCGAGGCAACCGGGACCTTCGTAACAGTCGCGGAGCAGATAGCTTCCTTTTTGGCCGTTGGACATGAGCAGGGCTTCCGCTTTGTGGCGAGACAGATCACCGTGGTACCAACTAGGGGTGGGAGGCGTCAAAAAACAGACAATCAAAAAGAGAATCGAAGGAGACTCATCTTACATATTAATTGACAGTTGTTTTTATTTACAGTACTTTGAGATTGTGGTAATGAGCGTAAGGGCGGCATGGTGGTGTAGTGGTTAGCACTGATACCTCACACCTCTGGGACCTGGACTGAAGTCTCTGTCAGGGTTCTACGTATGTGGAGTTTGCATGTTCCTTGCCTTACACCCATAGGCCACGGACCCCCCCCCCCCACTCGTGACCATGAATAGGACAAGTAGTTACAGTAAATGGATGGTAATGAAAAGTGCTATTGAAAATGTATTCCTCCATTTCTCAACTCCTTCTCCTGGTCAGGGTTGCCATGTCCTTTCTGTTTGACAACTTCCATAATATGGTTTCAGTCCCCCCACGAACAGAACTCAGAACACAAAGGCCCCTACTTAGAAATGAAGTGAAATTACATAGTAAGAACAAGCACAGAACAAGTAGGAATCTTACGTAAATCACAACTCTGGTACAGGTGGAAAAGATTGTACATTAACACATTAAAATACATGAAATCATGTGAATGAGAATTCTCTCTCTCTCTCTGCATATATATATATATATATATATATATATATATATATATATATATATCCTAGATTATATATATATAATCCTGTATATAGACATACTTACCACGTAACTTCCAATGAAAATTATTGCATTAATTTTATGAAGCTTGTTCATTAGCCTATTATTATTTTAGAAAAAGGTATGATATTATGGTTCTTTACTGTACACATCACGTATAGATTTCGGATGTTGGTCTTCACTTTACCGTTTTTTATTTTATTTTCCTGTTATCTATCTATCTATCTCTATTTTTTCCTTACCTCAGCGTCTCCAGTTCATCCCCCTCGGGCTCGGTGCTTTGTTCAGAGCGGCTGTCGCTCATCGCTGACATCGGGCCGATCCTCTCCTTCCGTCTGCTTACGTTGCGACAGGTATGAATCCCACGCTTTCAGCGTATAATTTAGCATGTAACTTCATTAAAGTGCTAATTACACAGCGGCGGGACTAAATGAGCAATAACGCACTGATACTGAATATCTAACAACTGAGACCGAGAGGGAAGTTCTTAATAGTCCCGCCTACAGCAGAGTCGCGCGGCATGGTCAGCATCCTCATAGCGCGTATTGCTTTTAACGTGAACTGAATATTTTGGAATGAGTTCACCCAGGGGAAAAGAAAAACTCTTCAAGAGAGTCACATTAGTGATCAGTTTATTCGGGAGCATCTTTAAAGTACGATCGACCACATTAGGTACTGCAATGTTGTAAACCTGATAGATAGAGACAAAATGTACTCACAGGAGCTGCATAAAACAGACTTTTAAAGTTCACAGAGCTGCACTGACTATATCATAGGATAATTTCATCTATCCTAAGACAATCTGACTGCGTACTTGGACAGAAGATACGTATAAATATGAAACGAATTATAATTTGCCGCTGAATGGCTTCTGGCATCTGTATAAGCTTATTGTATGAATGTTATATTGTATTCGCCACACATTTAGAATAACATATTAAACAAGTGTTTTTTCTTTTCGAGGGTTGTGGTGGATGGTACTCTTGAGAGGGACAGTCAGGTGATCAGGTTTGGTTTGCTGATTAAAATTAGATGTGTGCTGCTTGTCTCATTCCATGAGATCTTTTTCTTCGATTATGTTGGTGGGCATAATTCCACAGGCATGTGACTTTTCAGATGTCTAAGCTGTTCCTGTTCCTAATGCATTCATTAGGGTTTTAATTGAAACTCCACAAAAATGCCATTTTCTTTTTGATATCATTCTCTCCCCCACCCATCCCCTTTTCTCCCAAATAAAAATATTTGCACACTGCTGTTATTTTCTTTCATTCCACCTCTCCAACTTTAAAGTGATTAATTAAAGTTAATCAAGGCTCTCATAAATTTTTAATGCCCTGGGATGGCATTGAATACTAGACAATAAATGTAGTAGTAGTAAATTTAAATGTAATTAGAGTGAATTAGCAAACCCATAGTAAGTATAGGTATTATAAGATCCAGAAAGAAAGTACAGGTGAGTTACAGAACACTGATTTCCCTCTTGTCAGTAAAATGGTTGTGTCAGCGACATTGGTGACACGACACACTATAAAGTAGGTTATGGAAAAATACGTCTCTGGAAGACTTCCAAAGACCTGCCGTTGTGTCCTGTTACTCCCCTGCAAAACTCAATTAGCCCTGGCAGCCGACTTACAGAGAATCCTAGAGGTAAAACAGAATCTGCAGGAAGGTGTCAGGGTGCAGCTGGTCTACACATTCGTGTCCAGCCAGATAGTCGGCTCCCAAATTGACGAGTTTCATTGATTAGTGACCTGTTTTCACACTCCTCTGATTAATCGCATGAGGCATGTCATTATGGTGCAACAAAAACAGCTAGTGACATTATAGTTAATTTAGGCTTTTCTAAATTTTGCACCAATATATCTCTTGACACTTAAGGACAGATTTTCCACAAGGTGAAAACGGGTTTAAAAATATGTCAGTTTAATCATCACAACTGAGTAGAGTTGTATGTTTTTTTTTTGTCATAGTCACAAGTTAAAGGTCTATCAACTTTAACAGAAACTAAAGACAACCCTTTCCTTTGTTAGACCCGCCCAAACCTCGCACCTTAGAGCTGTCCCTCCTTCCATTGCTGTCCTGCTTACAGCAGTGATGCTCCCACAGTCCCGAAAGCAGGAAGTGAGAAAACTCACATGTCCAACTTCCTTACCCACACTTTCCATCTGTGGCCGTCAACCTGGCTGCTGCCATATGCTATCAGCCGCTCCACTGCCCGCCAAGGACTGCATGTTAGACAACAGTGTGCATGCTGGGAAATCAGGTAAATATAAATCTATAGGCAGATCGCACACACCGATCCGCTGGGGACCTATCTGGGGAAGGTGGTCCACACTGAAAAACAAGAAGCCGGCATGTCCGTTAGCCTCCTGTCCATCCTCATGTCTCAGCGTTCTAAGATTTTAAGCTCCGTCTTATTCCGTCTTATGGCTTTTCAGTAGGGACCTTTCTGGAAAATTTCTAGTGACACTGTTAACGGACGCTACAAGCGTGGACAGCTGTGGGCTCGGACGGGTGTGAAAAGCAGAAGAGCCGGAAAAGGCTGGTCTCATGACAGTTGACCTTCATCGAGGCCGGCGGAGACTCTCTTGGACAGTTGTGCTGAGCGTAGCTCGAAAACGGGTTGGACGGCACCGGGTGCAGTTCGCTTCCAGACTGAGGTGAAAACCTTGGCATACATCAGCATCCGGGGAGACTAAGGCTAAATGATGGACGCTTATCAATGATTTTACCAGGAGATATGAAGGATAAATCATCCCTTTTTATAACTATGGGCAGAGTACTTCAGTCTTAAATTTTTTAAGTTATGATGAAGAGAAGCTATGGTGAGTTTAAAGGGATATTTACATTATTAAAGGGATAATAAACAAAACAGAGAAATAATATATGGCAGCGGAATTGCCTCAATATTCACATGAATGTTTAGCCTCTTGCTTTGTAACTTCCTTACTTGGCTGATTTAACCACAGACCACGTTTAAAACCACTGACCGAAAACCATTTAACCATTTAAAACCACAGACCTAAAGAACCAAGACACACAATCGAAGTCAAATTTCACATTAAGATCAGAAGACACGGAAGTCAGTCTTGTTCACAGTACTGAGGATTAGGTTTCATTTTTGCGTTTTAACAATTCCGGCACTAGGGGGGGCCAAGGCACCTTTGAAAAGATGGTAACCCCACAAGGACGTGTAGTGTCACAGTGTCACCTTTCAGCAGCACGGGTGTCCGTAACACTGTGTGACAAAGTGCTCATAGCTGTCTTTGATGTGACACTAGCAGCTGGGGAATCGCTGGGCGGAGCTGTCAAGATCGGCTCCTCCGATTTATCATTCACAAGCTTGCTGCTCCGAGGTCCGTTTTAAGGGCTTTTGGCTGGTTTTACCTATTTACTCCCTCTGTGTCCACAATGCAGCTTGGTCATAATCATGCACTTTATTCAATGGTGTTAATAAAGGTTGTGTTATAGCTGATGTTTGTGCTAACTCCACAGCTGAAGAATTTCAGTCACAATGGAGGTTTCTAAGTCAGTTGATGTTCCATATCAGGGTTCCCCAGTTCTGGACCCTGGAGGGCAAGCATCCAACCTAGTTTACAGATTTCCCTGCTCAAACACATTTGAATCAGCTAATTATCATGTTTAGTAGGTGTTCGAACAGGGAAATCTGCAGACTGTGTTAGATTCCGGCCTTCTAAGAACTGGAATTTGGGAACCCGGTTCTACATCAATGAGTCCTTCCAGAACATGACAAAACACTGCATCAAAAGAAGGTTTTCGTAAAAATAGGCAGACCATATATTTTTGTGATTTTTTTGTTTTGTTTTAGTAGGAAACATAATACTGTATATTCACATGGTTAAAAGTGTTAGGATCATGCCTGCAGGCAATCCCCAGGGTTCAAGCAAGAGCTCTTCGCAAAGATTGTCTTTAAGTTGAACTTGTAGGTAAGTTGGAAAAATAAATGCTGTACTTAGTAATAATAATAATAACAACAAGAACAATAATAATAATAATAACAAAGTAGCGTGTGCATTTATTATTACAAACCATTGTATTTAACCCAAATTTTTATATAACAGGTTTTATGGCAGTCCATTCGTAAGTACGAGTCCGTATGTTCTTAACTTGGGGACTATCTGTATATGACAGTGACACAGTCAGTGGTCGCAGGAGGACTGACAGGTGACGTTATATAGGTTACAAAAGGAGGGAATGAGTGGAACGTGATTCGGGTGCAGGGGGGTCCGCTGTTCCTGCTGGGAATGACTCACCATGTTAGAGGCAGACGGGAGTTCAGATCAGCACCCTCAGCTGGTGCACCGGCCGGCTCGCGGTAGGAGGATGGGGCCCGCTGGTACGCCAGGTGTAGCCTTCGAACTCCTAAGCCAGCCCTCCCCAGACACCCACCATCTCTGTAGCTCAGTCGGGGGAACCAACCTGATGTGTTTGCCTGATTGTGGGATTTAAGGTGAAATATGTCAGTCAGAAGTTGCAGCCACATATCAGGATCTGCCAGTCGTACCGTCGGATGGCGATGTGAAGATTTTTATGCATGACTAGACGGATCACGTGTGACTGAATGTCACAGCGCCATCAGACACGTAAACATATTGCAGCCCTTGGGGTCATGTGACGTCAGCTTACGGCTGGCAGTAGTGGAGAGTAGAGGCTTCGGCTGACATTCACGGCCCCCTGCTGGCTCCACCGCGTCTTCCAAGAGCGTCACCTGCCAATGGCAGAAACCCGATGTGTCAGCTACGTTTGGAAAGATGGGGTTCATTAACACCCCGGCTATTTTTCTGATTAATAGCCACTTTTAAGTGCGGGGCTGTATGTGATTCATGGTAATGAATGACGTGCGGAGTAAGTGGGTCGCCGATATGATTGAGTCCAGGGTTCTGCCTGGTGAAGGGCCCAGCAGAGCGGAGGGAGTCGTATCTAGGGCTGTGCGGACGTCTGCGCCCCGAAGCGCTACTGTGCATTATGGGATATCGTTCGCATCTTTAATTTCATCTCTACGTTCTTGGGTGGGGAGCCCATGACAGTCCAAATGTCCGACACCAACAGGACAGTTAAAGTCATGGAATCGGTGACCAGCTCCAAACTCAACATTAAAATTTGACTATACAGGACAATACAGGAAATGCATTCCAGTCCTGGCTACTTCTGAAGACATGCTTAATTAACCTAATTGCCCCTATTCAGTGGATTGTTGTTCAAATGGTCATTTGCTATGAGGTTCCTTTCAGCCATTAGACATGTGCATCTCCTTCCACTACTAACACAGTGGAAATAGTGTATTCATAGTACGTGTGCTTAGAGTGAAAGTTCCCCACAAGTCTCAGTTAATTAGCTTAATTAATAGTCAATTAATTAATATCCTGATTGCCACACCTGTTATGTTACCTTTCCGTGGCTCCCAATTAACCTCCTCAGTCTTTAAATCATATATATATATATATATATTTCAATCTTATTTATTTATTTATTCACACACACACACACACACACACAGTAAAGTGAGGTGCCTGCCTGTTTCATTGCTATTGTTCACCGAATGCTGCTGCATTTTCAAGTTGCTTGCGTGCGCCAAGAATCTGAGCAGATTTGACACAGCGCGCAGGTCTCCCGCTCGGAAAGGGTTTTATTTTTAGCGTGGGATCGTTCCCATTTCCGTTTCCACAGCCGCCTTCAGTCACCTCCCCCCCCCCCACCCCACTCCCCCACCACCACCCACATACTCAAGTGCTTCCATATCTCTG